AGAAAAGCTGAGCTCTACCTAAGAGTTGGATGGTGGAGAGGAAAGGCGGTCCCATTATTTTGTGCCATGGCGGCACGGTTACCACTGGGAGGTGGCAGCCTAATCTTGAGCCTTCTCAGGGTGGGGGTGTGGCATGCAAAGAGTACGTAACCTTTATTCGGCGCATGTACACACCCTCATTTACAGGCTATCTCCCCCAACCAGCAAACCAGGTTGCTAAGAGTTGATGATGGGGCCCTGTCATTCAACTAGTGACCAGGTTCTAGCCAATAAGAAGATGGTTTTGGCAATCGCAGAGGTTATGTGGGTACCGCTCTCCTGTCTGCCCTTGTCATTCCCATTCTAGAGCTGGTTGAAGCACGGTCTGCTATCTTGTGGCTTCTATTTCTGCCTTGCTTACCGTGGAGTGCACTATACTTATCACTGTACATAGTGTACATATTGCTGTTCTAAATTGGTGAAGGATAATATAAATCTAAACTTTTTCTGCTGTGTTTATTTTGCTCCCATTACACCCGAGATAACAGGCCATTTGGAATCCTGGGTTGTAATAATCGTCAAGAGCAATAAAATCACAATCCACGTCACTATCATCATCATTACTGAAGTCAGAGGCCTGGCCATATGAAAATAATAGTTTTCTCTTGCAATGAGGTACAACTGACTGTGACTGAGGAGTGCCCACACCAGAGGTAGAAGATTGAGGATCGTAAGGGTTTTCTGCACTATTATCGATATCCTGGTCATTCCTTTCAGTCACTAACTGATCAAAGCCAAAGAATTTGTCTTCATTTCCACTTCCATCAGTCAGAATTATCAGATAGGAAGAGGAGAGTCCCAATTTTCCTTGGAGTGAGAGCTGCCTTGCGACGAGGCGCAGTGAACAAAGGTAACTGGGCTGGCGTTCCCATAATGCTATGTGGGCACCTAGAATTTTTGTTTATGGCGCACACACACCATGCAGACCTGTTCTCTCACATGTAGGCCTACCATCATTTTTGCGCTAAATTTGACGCCGCTAGAATTCTAGTGTAGATCTACGGTTTGGACCCTGAATGAAAAGCCGTAGATCTATGGGACGGACCCTGAAAGGGTTAAGTGTGCCTACCTTGTCCCTAATTTTACTTCTGTATACCTGAAAGAACCCTTTAGGGTTAGTCTTCGAATCCCTTGTGACCTTAGCCTCATAATCCCTTTTTGTTTTTCTTATTCCTTATTTTATTTCTCTCTATAATTAAATATGTATATTGATTTCTTAACTGCCCATCCCCTCTTTTGATATGCCTATATATGCCTCTCTTTTGGCCAATGAGATGTTTTAATCTATTGTTCATCCATTTGGGATCATTTTTGTTATATCTAATTTCCCTAAATGGAACAAAAGTTGTCTGGGCAGCTAGAACTATGCTCTGAAAAACGTCATATTGGCAACCAAGATCACCTCCCTGACCCATAGTTAGGTCATCCCAATTTAGCCCACCCAGGTAATTTCTGAGTCCCATGAAATTGGCCAAGCAAAGTCTGGGACAGAGACTTGATTGCAGTATACTGGGTAATTCCATGATATATTGAAACTAAGTGATTTGTGATCACTTTCCCCAAGCTCATCATTAACCTCAAGAAAATTAATTAGTTATTCATTGTTGGCAAGAACCAAGTCAAGCAGATTGTTTCCTGTAGTTGGTTCTGTCACAAACTGTTCTAAAAAGCAATCCTGAACCGTGTCAAGAAAGTCACTAGACTCAAGATTTCCTGTCATATTGTTCCAATCAATTTGTCTAAAGTTAAAATCTCCCATTAACACAACATTTTCATATCTAGATGCCTTATGAATTTCATCCCATAACAGCTTACTGCACTCTCTATCAAGGTTTGGGGGTAAATTAGACACATGTGCAACTCTTGGGTATCTTTAGATACCCAAGATACCCAAGAGTTGCACGTGTCTAATTTATCAACGTGTCGGTTCTGTGAACCGACACGTATCTCAGGTGATACAGACGATGCATCTCTTCTGAGCAAATTTATTCTGAGTTGAAGGAAGTTGTATTATGAAATGATCACCTTCCCTCCTCAAACGCTTGGGTACATCCTGAGTAATTCGAGGACCTTGTTGTATAGCAGGTGTTCTTACCTGGTACTTCATTATGAGTTGTCTGACAACAGACAAACAAAATTCACCTGCGTTGAGCCTGGGCATATGTTTACGATTAGAACGCACTGCCACACACATCTGTCTTGTTCACTCACATGAAATCACTGAGTAATGGGCTTGTGTACCAGTTATCGGTATATAATGTATGCCCCTTACCAAGATAAGGTGCCATCATGTTTCTCACTACGTCACCTGAGATACCCAATAACATCTTGGTATCTTTCAATGTTTTACTACCCGTGTATACAACAATATCCAACACCAGGCCACTGTCACAATCACAGAGTACAAACAGTTTTATACCAAAGCGTTTCCTCTTGCTCGGTATATACTGCTTGAATGACAGTCTACCTTTGAACAAAATCAAAGACTCGTCAATTACATGATTCTTGAATGGATAAAGTATATGCTGAACTTTTGTTTGAGATACATGAAAACATTTCTAATCTTGTATAACCTGTCACTTCTGTCAGGCCTGGTTTTTTGTCAGAAAAAGTGCAACATACGTAACAGTAGATAAACCTGTTCACTGGATGATTTCACTGAAGACCGGGGTAGAAATTAGCCAATCTTGGACCAGTATGCTTTTATATTATGCTTATAGACATGAGGCATAAGCATTATTGTTGCAAAAAGCAAATACATTTCTGCAACAGTCGTTCTCTTTCCACCTGTGAGCCCTTGACTGTGGTGATATGATCGTATTTGCCATGGTGTACTCAAAATACTTATTACTTTCCCTGACATAGTTTCCATCAATGGCTGGCCACAGAATAATTCAAAAAATTCCAGTTCATTGACCATGGTTCCAAGGGGACAAGTGGGTAGAATTCCACTTTGAGAGTCATCAAAGTGGTGGGCTTGGGAACAAAATTGGTATTTTGCTGCCATCCCACATACGGCTTGCGGGGTGGATACTGGACATCATGGGCAGTTGTGCAGGTGGTTGTGGTTGTGGTGGGCTGGGGGCTGATGCTCCGCTTTGTCCTGAACTGCCCGATCAGCAGCGGGGGTCCCCGCCCTGGGCTGGTGAGTCACGCATGGCGGGGGCCACTACCTTTCACCACTAACACCACCACTGATGCCTGTGGTCTATCCATGCCAAGTGTAGCCACATCATCACTCACAAATCACTACCTTAAACTGGTGTAGGGCCACGGGATGTACTCCGGGATGTACTCCGCCCCCTGGGCACAGCATAGGGTACACTACCCGAGCGCATGCAGCGGCGAACATACCGACGCTTAAACTGGTGAATATGATTCCTCACTATCACTACTCGAATGATCGTCGAGCGCAATAAAATCACAATCCATGTCATACCCATCATCATTACTGAAGTCAGACCCTGGCCACACGAAAATATTAGTTTTCTCTTGCATTGAGGAACAAACCGACCGTGAGTCACGATGCCCACACCAAGGTAGAAGGTTGAGGATCGTCAGATTTTTTCTGAAACTATATCGATAATCCTGGTCATTCTTTTTCGGTCACTTACTTATCAAAGCCGTAGAATTCGTCTTCCCATTTCCACTTCCATCAGTGTCAGAACTATCAGATGGGAAGGAGAGTCCCAATTTTCTGGGAGGGAGAGCTGATTTGGGCGACGAGGCATGGTGAACAAGGGTAACTGAGCCGGCGTTCCCACATGCTATGCAGGCGCCTAGATTTTTTGTTTATGGCGCACACCCACCATGCAAAACCCGTTCTCTCACATGTAGGCCTATGAGCGTTTTCGCGCCTAAATTTGACGGCGCTAGAATTTTGGCAAGATCTTGGTTTGGACACTAACGTGAAGCCCTAGATCTACGGGAAAGGCCCTGAAAGGGTTAAGGGAAAATATCACCTCGTTGCCCCTCTACTATCTCTCTTTGTTTGTTTATCAACTGATTTGCCATTCTAGCAACCTTATTTTGAATATTGTCTTTTAAATAATCCCTGAGGTAAACCTGGTAATATTGCTGTTTTCACCCCAATACTGCAGCCTGAAGTTTTCTATAAACAAATTTAAAATAAGATTAATACAGTACAATAAAAATCCAGGCAGCCCTTACTTTCAGACTGAGCTACAGTAAGTGATTATTTTGATGTATTCACAGATGACCTAGCATTTCATTCATGCCATTTGCATCCCTAACTCTGACAATGCTGTTGCTTCTATTTCTTTTCCTTTCCTACCATTGTTATCAGTTGTACCTCGGGATACGAACAGCCCCAAAAATCAAACAATTATGTAAGTGTATTTATGTAAGTGCCTTTGTAAGTGTATTTTTGAGGTCTGAAATGGATAATTCTAATTTACATTTTCCTGATATCGAACAAATTTGTTTCCCTTTTGGGAACAAATTCGTTCGTATCGGTACTTGAACAGCCATCTGGAACGAAATAATTCATATCCTGATGTACCACTGTATTTGTTAAAGAACCAACATAGTATTAAATGAATCTGTTCTTATACTTTGTGATAGTGTTTGTGCATACGTGCATGTGCGCACTTGTACATACGTGTATGCATGCGTGAGTGTGAACGTGTTAATAAAATACACTGTAATGGAAAATTTAAACTTTCCTATGTACCTGTATAGCAATACATTATCTAAATTTATTAATAATCAACTGTAAAAAAAGAGTAAATTTTTTTATGAAAACTGTACTGAACAAACTTTCAAGTGGTTTTCTTGGAAGAGAACCTATTTCTAAACCAGGTGCTGTCTGCCTAATTAGATGAAATGCATAACACTGCGAAAAATTATTTAAAAAAGAGAGCTTACTTACCCCCTGCATACAAGAACCACAAACGATAGCCATCTGGTATCCCTGCTGCTGAAAATTACAGCGGAGTTTTTGGAAACCACGACCACCATGATTTTTATCAGCAAAAAACTCTGACTGGAAAATAAATAAAAACACTCATGAGCAAACGACAAAGTAAGCCACAAGTCACAATGCATGTAAGTACTTGATGGTACTCTACTCTACTGGAATACTCTAATATTAAATGACACATAGGAAAAAATGCTAATTATAAATTTAAATTTTCAAGCAACTAACAAATTTTGAATTAGTCAGCTACACATGTATAAGTTATCATTAGTGGTCATTTAGGCGAGAAAGCCTAAGGATTAACAAAACATATACAGGTTTGGAAATATACCAATATACTATTTTTTTTTTTTTTTATTTTTTTTATTATCACACCGGCCGATTCCCACCAAGGCAGGGTGGCCCGAAAAAGAAAAACTTTCACCATCATTCACTCCATCACTGTCTTGCCAGAAGGGTGCTTTACACTACAGTTTTTAAACTGCAACATTAACACCCCTCCTTCAGAGTGCAGGCACTGTACTTCCCATCTCCAGGACTCAAGTCCGGCCTGCCGGTTTCCCTGAATCCCTTCATAAATGTTACTTTGCTCACACTCCAACAGCACGTCAATATTAAAAACCATTTGTCTCCATTCACTCCTATCAACACGCTCACGCATGCCTGCTGGAAGTCCAAGCCCCTCGCACACAAAACCTCCTTTACCCCCTCCCTCCCAACCCTTCCTAGGCCGACCCCTACCCCGCCTTCCTTCCACTACAGACTGATATACTCTTTAAGTCATTCTGTTTTTGCTCCATTCTCTCTACATGTCCGAACCACCTCAACAACCTTCCTCAGCCCTCTGGACAACAGTTTTGGTAATCCCGCACCTCCTCCTAACTTCCAAACTACGAATTCTCTGCATTATATCACACCCCACATTGCCTCAGACATGACTCTCCCTGCCCCCTTGTTTTTTTGGGGGGGGGGGGGGGGGGGGGGGGGGGGGGGGGGGGGGGGGGGGGGGGGGGGGGGGGGGGGGGGGGGGGGGGGGGGGGGGGGGGGGGGGGGGGGGGGGGGGGGGGGGGGGGGGGGGGGGGGGTTTTTTTTTTCTCATAGCAAAGGCTTGTAAGCCACAAGTCACAATGCATGTTTTACTTGTTTGGTACCTTTTACTCTACCGGAATACCCCCAAATATTAATGAAAACCTGAACCCCTAATTAAAAATTAAATTTTCAACCAATTTTTTTTAACAAATTTTGAATTAATCCTCAAAATAAAATTTTTAAATTTGTATTTTTGGGGAACCTAAGGAATTAACAAAACATTACATTTTGGGGAATTTTTTAACCAATATTACTAGCCCCCCTTAAATCAGGGATAATCACAGATACCCACCTACAGACCACTACCCTACCTTCCTCCTGACAAACATTAATAAACCACCACTTGAATACAACAAAGTCTCATTAGACTCCATGACGAGGCCTCAAAAGGAAGTTCACAACTGACCTAGAGATTTTTGGGACGGGCCTACAGAATTCTCCAAGGCCAATGGTATAGATGACTGGACAGACATTTTTCTTAACAAATTACTTAGACTATACAACAAACATTGTCCCATAAAAACGAAACAGATCACAACAAACGGCTTGGTTGCCCATGGCTAACCAGCACCATTCTGAAATCCATTGACAAGAAACACCAATATGAAAAGCAATATAGACAGGGTTAATACACAAAGATATTCTTAAACATATTCATCAGTTCTCACCAAAGTAATAAAGAAAGCCAAAAAAACTATACACTCCAGTAGATTCACAGACACTAGAGGAGATATAAAAAAGACCTGGAAAACACTCTCTAGATTCTAGGGACCCACAAATTTAAAAAAAACCAAGAATATTGTCCTAACTCAAACTAATGAAAACACCACTACATCCCACTGACACAGCTAACAAGATAAACGACTTCTTCTCAACCATAGGATCTAATCTCGCCAATAAAATCCCACATACTAATGCCCATGCCGGGGACTACCTAGATGGGAATTTCCCAAATTCCTTCTATCTTGCACCAACTGAGCCCTCGGAAGGTCACCGAGATTATAAAGTCACTTAAAAACAACTCAGGGAATCTGTCTAATGTCCCCACCATTACTGTACAAGCGGCGGCCCATATCCTTTCGCATGCTATTTCATTACTTTTTAACAAGTCACTAAAAAACTAGCACCTTCCCGAAACTACTTAAGATGGCAAGATTACAACCAATACTAAAGGTGGTGACCCTACAGACTAAACAACTATAGGCCAATATCAAACTTACCATTGCTATCCAAAAATCTTTGAGAAACTCGTGCACAGGAGACTATATTCATTTATAACAGCAAAAACATACTCAACCCTTGCCAAATTTTGGATTTAGGAAAAATAAAAGCACTAATGATGCAATCATAAAAATGCTAGATCTGCTTTACACAGCATTGGAAAATAAGGAATATCCACTAGGAATTTTTATTGACCTAAGAAAAGCCTTTTGACACAGTAGACCAGACATCCTACTCCACAAACTTGACCATTACGGTATAAGAGGCCATGCACTTGCTTATTTCAAATCTTCCCTTTAAACTAATAGGTATCAGTAGTTACCATTAAAGACACAGCACAACAACACGGCCACTTGATACTGGAGTTCCATAGGAAAGTGTCCTAGGTCCCCTGCTCTTCCTCATATACATCATTGATCTTCCAAACGTATCCCAACACCTAAAAACCCATTCTCTTTGCTGACGACACGACTTATGTCATCTCTCACCCAAATCTTGCCACCCTCAACACCATTGTTAATGAGGAGCTGATCAAATATCGACTTGGTGACAGCCAATAAACTTACGCTTAACATTGACAAAACCTACTAAAATTATGTTTGGTAGCAGAGCAGGATATGCACAAATTAACATAAAGATCGACAACACTCTAATTACCAGGCATTTTGAGGGCAAATTCTAGGCCTATACCTTGTTTAATAACCTGAATTTCAGCACCCATATCCAACAAAATAACCAAAAAAGTATCCAAAACAGTTGGGATCCTCTCCAAGATAACGATACTACGTGCGCAAAATGCCCTTCTCACACTATACCACTCACTTATTTATCCATACCTCACCTATGCAAATTTGTGCTTGGGGATCAACTGCAGCAACACACCTAAAGCCAATAATAATCCAAACAAAAAGCTGCAGTAAGAATAATCACTAAATCCCATCCCTGGCAACCCCCCCCCCCCCACTCTTCATAGATCTAAACTTACTCCCTGTTCAGTACATCCACACTTACTACTGTGCAATCTACATCTACAGGAACCTTAAACTCCAATATCAACCTTGACCTAAAACGCTTTCTTGATAGTTGTGACAGAACCCACAGGGCATAACACCAGACACAAACATCTCTAACGACTTCCCCATGTCCAACTAAACCTTTACAAAAAATTCAATGTATGTCAAAGGCCCTAAAATCTGGAACACCCTACCTGAGAACTCTAGAACTGCAGACACTTTCATCACCTTTCAAAACTCCCATTAGAAAACATCTTATCTCCCTGATAAACCCCATCAACTAACTACACGAATACCACCTGGTGGTTCACACTTACACTCACTCACCCATTTGACCATAAACAGAAATATTAATCTCAATCTTAAATAATGAATCCTATGATACTCCAATACTGAAACTATGTACTGTGCCAAAACAAAAGCATTTACATTGCTAAACTACAAACTAGTATTTAGTCACTTAGCCATAATTTCCAACTTACCTCATAATTTGTAATATTTTAAAATAAAGAATTAAACTAAGTCTGCCCCAAAAAGCCTAGCCATGCTAGGCGTTCTAGTGGTACACTCTGTAATCATTATTTAACTACATGTAAACCACACAACAAACCAAATTATGTAAATTCAACATTGTAATCTTTATAGAGAATAAACTTTGAATTTGAATTTGAATCTAAGGTCAAAATTTTCTGAGGAGGACTGGAGGATGGGAAATAAAAAATTTTGAATATTTATAAAGGCTTGAACATCCAACAAGTTGATTTAAGCATGTTAGGTTGCAGTGACTGGAGCCTATTAGTATTTCAAGGCAAGTAACATTTATGAAGGGATTCCAGGGAAAATGTTTTAGCCAAACTTAAGTTCTAAAGGTGAAGAGTAGTGCCTGCACTCTGGAAAGGAACGGAATAAATGATGGTGAATGTGTTTCCTTTTTTTTAAGGTCACCTTACATTAGTAGGAGATGGCTGGCATGTTAACCCTTGACTGTCGCAATCCCAAATCCTGAGGTGTTTCCTGGTGTTGCAAAATTTCCAAAAAACAAATTATATTTTCTTATGAAATGATAGAGAATCTTTTCCTGATGGTTAATGACACCAAAAGAACGAAATTATATGTAAAACTGACAGGAATTACGCTCTCGCGAATTTAGCGACCTTGGCGATATTTTATGAATCAGCGATTTTGCCCACTTTGAGCCCTATTTTCGGCCCAATTCCATTGTTCCAGTTGACCAAAGTCATAGCTATTTCTTCAGAACCCCATTTTTCTAATGATGAGTACAAGAAACTGCCCCCACTTACGATTTCAACTACTTAATAACGTGGTCAGAAATTTGCAATTTGGCCAATTTCAAGCAAATTAAAAACTGACAATTTCAAAACAGGGTCCAGAATGAACAATGCAGACATTTCCTGGCTCTAAAATAACATTTTCTTTGTTTTATCAGTCATGTCTCCAGGCCCCTCTGATATTTCTCTTGCTTTCTATTTTGAATTTTTATTCAAACAAGAAATAGAAGATTTATGTTATGCAGACTACGCCCAAAATTGTAATAACTGTATAAATAATGTCAACCCATTCATGACTGATATTAGAATGGCTACTTGGACATTTATTGAAAATTTACATCATTTGTTTACTTTTGAACATTGGCAAAAAACAAACGTTTCCCCCACTTTGAGCTCCATTTCAAGGTTCTTTTCATAATAAAACCAATCAAAATCACCTCTATTTCTATAATGT